CTCTGCTCGTCTTCACCTCAGCCTTCAGTGGGTTAACGCACTTGTGCAGAGATATCTACCGAGATAGCGGGCGCACTTTGTTTTCCGTTCTACGGAAGAATTCTGAGTGCAGACATCCTCGCTCTACAGCATCGCACCCTCTCGGTGCCATGAAAAGTCCGAAGGCCACGCGAACGTGCTCAAGGCCAACTTCTCCTCCCGCAAACCAGCGGTTTGGCCACCGAACCCCAAACGGATCCACCTGGAAGAAGTTTCCCGGCACAGACCCCCACCTCCCACCCGACACGCGCGCGCGCCCACACACACACACACACGCACACACACACACACACGCACACACACACACACACGCACACACACACACACACGCACACACACACACACACGCACACACACACACACACGCACACACACACACACACGCACACACACACACACACAAAGGAGGAGGGCTGCCCGGGGGCTCGCCCAGCCTCCGGCAAACACGAGGGACCGTCTCCGGGGCTGCCCGGCGCCTGCCCTGCCTCCCTCGCTCTCCACTCTGCCCCGGGACCCGCCACACCTCGCGGCGCTCAGGCGGCGGCCCACTGACCTCGTGTCCATTGCTGGCCGGGATGATTTCGGACTCATTGACCAAGGAGGACTTGATGTCGGCTAAGTCGCCTTCCTCCTCGGGGTGACTGATCTCGGCGAAGATCTTCTCCTTCTGGGGATCGCCCTCGTCCTTGAAGGGGATCATCTCGTCCGTGGCGCAGAGTTCCGGGTCCCCCCCGCCGCCGGCCCCGGAGAGTTGGGGCATCCCGACCGCTCTGTAATCTCCGCTCAGCCGGGGGAGCACCCGAGGCGACAGCAGGAAGAGAGGGGGTCAACGAAAGTGGGGGGGGGGGAGAACTGGAAGGATGAGCGAGGTAGCGCGTCTCCACGCAAACCTCTGCCCTCTAGCTCCGCCGGATGCCGAATGGGGAGTTGGTTGTCCGAGAAAAGAGGAGAGCTGGGCAAAAAGGCTCCGTTTGCCCCAGCGTAGAAGGTGCCAGGAGAATCAGAAGATAACGAAATGTCCACTTCCTGGAGGGTCAAAAAAATAAAGAGCCACCCGGGTTGGAGGTGTCCGCTTTAGAGCTGCTTATTTCCTTCTCTTTCGCTTGGATTTTCCTTCTCCAGGCGCGTTTAATCTGCAGGAGGAGGAGGAAGAGGAGGAGGAGGAGGGGGAGGAGAGGGAGGTGGAGGGGGAGGATAAGAGGAAGAGAAAGAAGTTTGCCAAGAATAAAGTTTGTGCGAGTGCTGGGAGTCGGCAGTGGAGGGCACGGCGGGGCCTCGGAAAGTCACAGCAGGGTCCTCGAACCCAAATGCTTCTGCCCGAAGCTGGAGCCGACACACACCCGCAGAGCCCGACCCCTCTTTGTTCCCGGCTCGAATTTCTCAGCCTGGCTTGCTGGCTGTCTCGCTCGCCGCTCTCCACGCCTCCTCCGGGCCGCTCCGTCAAAGCCAGGCGCTGCACCCCTCGGGTTCTCCCGGCCAAGGGGAGGGGGACCCCCGAGCTTGACCGCGTGCGGGGCTTCTGCGCGTCCCGGCTCTTCGGCCCGAGTGCGCGCAGCCTGGGTTCCTCCTCCGCGCCCTGCCCCGCAGGTGAGCGGCTGCGCCTCCCCACCGCTTCTCCTCCTCCCGCGCCTCGCCGGCGCTGAAAAGCTACCCATTTGCGTCGCTTCTCCTCCCCCTCTTCCCCCGCCTCCAGCTCTCCTTGGCTGCCCGCTGGGCGGGAGGAGGGGGACCGCGAGTTGGAGGTGGTGATTGAGGACTTTTTTTTTTTCTTTTCCCAGAGCCTGTAGGACCAGTCCTAGTTTTGGGGTGTGTGTGTGTGCGTGTGCGCGCGTGTGTGTGCGCGCGCGCTCCTGGAGGGAAGGATCAGGCAATTTGGCGAGGGAAGGAGCGACCTGGCGCTTCTTATAACCCACTGAGAGGCACGCTTTGCCGGCGTGAAATTGACAAGAAACTGCCCGAATGGTTTAACTTCATCATCTAAGTATCTCTTCTCTTGTCTACCCCCCTTCCTCTGCCAGTCTCACCCCCACCTCCTTTCCGCCTACCCGCTCCCCTCCACCCGCCCCCCTCCCTGCAAAGGGAGGAAGATGAAAGCGAAGCCGCCGCAGCTGTGATCGACACCACATTGATAGATGCTCTGACCGAGCGGATGAGGCGGGAATCGGGGACAGAGGAGAAGGAAAATATAACAGACATTGCTCAACTAATAAGAAAAAAATGGAAACAAGAAGGACAAGGAAGAGAGTTGTGGCTTTCCTAAATATAATGTCGAAGGGACTAGGAAGCACATACCGAGAATAATAGGACAAGGAAGAAAAAAAAAAACGAAGAGGATCTGCATTATCGCTTTTTAAACAAGATCTCTTCCATTACAGCCTCACCATGCGATGCACCTAGAGAGTTACGCCAGATCTTTCAGGGATTTTCGGAGATACACGCCACAATGTGTGGGAACCTCATGAGGAGGGTGCAAAAACAGCCCAAGGAGGAGGAAGAGAAGGCAAAGGGACCCAAGAGAGCGAGGCCAGTAGAGGGAGAGAGGATCTGGCACCTCGGACCGCTGGCTCCAAGGGACCCTGGAAGACGCAAATCTGAATCCAACCTCAAAAATTCCCCAGCCTCCACCGGCTCTTTGATGCATTTTATACAACGACAGGACTTAAGGAGACGTTTTGTGAGCGTTACAGTATAAGCTAAGCTCAAGTTTAAAAACACATTACATGTTGTTCCTTGGCTCTCAAACCCCCTGTTAAAAATCCAGGCAAAATTACGATACCCAATACAGTAGCCATCTGTAAAACCTCAGAGCAGTAAACAAGGAGCAGGAAGAAATGTGTCTCCATCACCCTCAAATTGAAAATAAGGAAAGCACTACAGAATCAGACTTTAGCTCCACGGTACAGCAACAATGAGGCAACGATGCTTCTTTTCCTCAGGAGGAACTGCATGCTGCCGGACACTGATAAGTAAAGACCTTAACAATGATCTAAATGAGCACCTAAAACCCTGCCTACCGATAACTACTTCCCAGAGGTGAGGATTTTCTAGGAAGCAATTTTAAAAACTATCATTTAAAGGGTTCAGTAAGTCACAGAGCATGGCCAGTAGTCACAGGTAAATTCTATCCGGGGCTGGTGAAGGGAGCCAGGAAGCGTAAAACATTAAATCCACTTTACATACCTAATGATGCTATGCCTTAGAGAAGAAAAATAAAAAGACTATTCTTCTGCAATGTGTCTATACAGCAATACTGAAAAGGTTGGAAAGAAAATTTTTTTTGGTTGGTGGCCATATGCAACTTCCCTTGAAGTTACACACCAGTGGAGTGTCCTAGTAATGTGAACGTGTAGCTATGTCAGACATTTATAGCCTCTGTTCTAAAAGAAATACTGGGAAACAAAGTCAAAAGCCCTCCCACAAATGCGCCAATTTTCGACAGGAAAAGAACTGGAAAATGCAGTTTCACCAAAGCAGCCAGAGTAGAAGCTCCTTTCATTAAACTCGAGGAGGGGGTGGGGGGCACACAGCATGGCCAGAAGGTAGTTTCTGGAAGCCAAAGAAGGATTACATGAGGACTCCTACATCCCCATTTAAGTGTGGCAACTCAGTCGACTTCCATGTTCTCCTTCATGTTAATTATCTGGACTCCCTGAGTCATTTGGAGCTCAACTCCGGGTGTCCTGGAGATTAGGCGCTCCAGAAGATGGGAGTTTGGGGAACAATAACTAGTGGGAACTGTTTACTAGAAGGGCCAAGGGTAGGTGTCTGCCTCTAGTACTTGGCCGTACCCCTCTCCTTTGGAAACATTGTTTCCAAGAAAACCACCCAACGTCAGGCTCTGTTTGCGTGACTGTTTTCCCTCCCCGTGGCGTGCGGGGTGTTGGCCAATTGTCCTTATCATTGTTGCAAATATTCTTTAAAGAAGCTTTACAAGAAAACATTCACCTAGGTTTTTTAACGCTTTGTCTGGGAAGGAGGTTGACATTTCCGCGTGAAGTCCGTCTCCCCGGATAAGGGGGCGACACAAGAGGGGCGGAATTACTCTGGGAGGTAACTCTGGGAAGAGCATCCTTCCCCCCTACAGGTTCGGTGAGGATCCGGGCAAAGGCATTTCTATCGCCCGGAGGTCTCTAATTCGTGTGGGGGCTGCTATTAACATATGCAGCCGCCTCTTGGGGCGCACGGTCCGGGATGTGGTGGGTGCGACGCGGGAGAAACTCCGCCGCCCGCCGCCCCCTTCGCTCGGATGTAGAGGCGGGTTGTTTGTGTGAACTCCAGCGAAGGACTGGAGGTTGGCTGCTGCAGGTTCACTCCTTCAGGATGTGGGTTTCAGGGGGCGTTTTGATGTGATTGAATTCCGACCGTGAAACAATTGCTAGGGGCTGGCTGGATTGCTGTTGGTTTTTCCCCCCTCTTGGTGGCTTTGGTTGGTTGGGGTTTAGTTTGGGAGCGAACAGTGACTTGTTTTATATCAACACTTCCTTCTGCGCCGGGCGCCGC